GTTGTGCTTTCATAAAGCACTGCAGTTCAAATCGATAACCTGGGAGATTGCTCTGTTATTACTGATAATGAAAAGTTCAGAAACCAACCTCGTTACCCCCTTACAGGAGAGGAAGTGACGTTGCAGTGAACAGAAAAACAGGCGTAGATGAAGTCAAATGAACGTGTGGAAAGAGATAGAGACAGATAGCAAGAGAGAGAGAGGACAGGGGAAGAGAAACAGAGAGGTCTAAGTTTGGAGAGAAGGCTCCAGTGTACGCGACATCTGACCTGAGGCATTTCTGAGAACCAACACCCTGTCAAGTGTGAATAACTCCTCGCTGAGTGTGTGTGTCTATATAAACAGTGAGGTCTGTGTGGCTGCCACAGTGTCAAACGCATGTATGTGTGTGTGTGTTTGTGTGTGTGTGTGTGTTTGTGTTTGAACATCAACCGAGGCCGCCGTCATTTCCAGTCTGCACAGTGTTTCTTCAGATTATTTTCTACTAATAATAATAATAATCGATAATGATGATAATCAGCTCTGATCTCACCTTATCGCTCCCTGTGTGGTCTATGTCGCAGCCCATAATCCTTTGCTCTCCGTCATTGTTTGGTGAGGGTGGTAATGTGTCACCGGGGGCGCACTGTAACTATAATCATAGATTAACACTCCATATCTCAGTAAGCTCCCTGCCAGTCACATCGCCTCCCTGACCACGAAGCTGTGCGGCGTGGATCACGGTGCACGACGAGTCCCAGCAGAGAGACACGGACGTAATCACAAGTGCATGAGTACGCTTTTGTCTGATATAGAAAGGCAACAGCGAGAAACAATCCCCGCATCAAGCAAGACTGCACAGATCTCTGATGTCTTCTTCGCTCGCTTAGAAATCTTTGCTGCTGATTAAATGCAGAATTAAGTGGCTAGAAACAAAAAGAAAATCAATTGTACTTTACTGTAAAAGGGCAGTATCGATTGAGAATTGTTCATGGCTTTATTACTTATTTAACACTTGCAAGTATGCCCAACGACGAGACCATGTCTGGATATTATTGACCTGCGGCGGTTCCAGTAATTAGCATGCTGCTTCACTGGATATAAGGAAAATCCATGTAAGATGATCTGCACAAAGTCAGAGAAATTGATATGCTTCATATTTCAGAAAATAGAGACCAACCACGCGGGCCTGGCTCTTTGAGTCTCTGTTGCTCACTAGCAAAACAAAGCGTCACTCACAGTGTGTGTGTGTGAGGAGAAAGGGCTTTCATCTCTGCGTCTGTTTGGACAGTAGCTACTGGAACGCAGGGCGGAGAACAGTGAGGCTTCACACCAGAACATCGTACCAACACAGGAGCAGGAAACACTGGATTTTACTGCATTTTGAAAAGAGATATGTAAATGTTATGACATGCAGGATATATATATATTCATAAGCGATGCTTCAAATGTATTATTAAAAACAGACATACCAAGTTTACCAAGTTTGTTGCAGTAAAAAAAATCCTTTGATCCAGATTTTTTATAATTTTCTTTTAATGAATTACTAGACGGTTTTACATCTCAAGGCCTCAATAAATTATTCAAATGAAACAATCTGAGATTTCGTCACCACGTTCGATTTCTAACCATCTTGTCCCAGATGAGCTGAGAGGTCTGCATGGTTCATCACGTAGCAGCAGATCAGAAATGTACCGTTCAGCGCTCTCATAACCCAACAGCACCAACAGGTTGCGAGTCAAAAAAGTCGAAGCAGAAGCCCGTCACCTCCCACTGTTCCACTGTTCCTCTCTCGCACACATGCGCATTAATACATCTTGCCGCATGCTTCATCTCCTCACCTCAAAAGGATGTGATGCGGCCCCACCCAGCATTCTTTACATGTTGGTTCATTGTTTGTTTAAATCCCTCACAGTCACAAAAGCCGAGTGTGTGTGTGCGTGCGTGCGTGCGTGCGTGCGTGCGTGCGTGCGTGCGTGCGTGCGTGCGTGCGTGCGTGCGTACGTACGTGTGTGTGTGAGAGGCAGAGTTAGAAGAGAGAGCGAGGTGGGACGTGTTATTACAATTTATCATCAATCAGACTGCACGGTAGCCAGCGGGATTATTGTTCCCTTTTTTAGCTTGGAATTTGGCAACTCTGATCTCACCAGGAGAACACAGGTCACCCCCCCACTATAAATACAAAACTCAGTCTGGACTGAACTTATAGCAGGCAGGGGAAGTTCACATGTTATCAAGTTATTGTTATTATTATCAGAAGTAATGATGATGAGCTCATACTACGAACATGTTTTTTACAAAATAAGATCTGCAGTTAAAACCAGTTATCAACTACTTATTTAGTGATTTTACAAGTCGTCATTTGTACGTACAGACAAACTATTTCTTTGACATATTCTAATTTAATGTCGTAGTAACTTTGTTTTGTCGTTTTTTGAATTGTGGCCTTTGATCAAACAACATGGTCCTACTTTCATAACATGCAGCTCTGAAACCCATCAGCCGAAACATTCCTGAAACACACTTTGGATGATGGAGACAATGTGTTCCTACTCAATGCTCATCAACGTGCACTGACGCTAAGGGAATGGACTGATGATGTGGATGAATCCCTCTGAAGCGGCTCGCTTCATTGTTTTCATCATTTTCTGGCATTAAGCATCAAAACCAGTCTGTTTACTGATCACATTCTCATCTGGTATGGTCTCACTGTGCCACGAAAAGTAAGACTTGAAGCCTTCCACGGCTCTCCATAACACATCCATTCTTCCTTTTTCATAAATACCTTTAAATAGAGTCGGTATAATGAGATAGTGTAACTGTCTGTTCCGGTGTTGAATCCCTTGATGGAGACAAAAGAGTGGTAGTGACAAGAAAATGTGAGAATCGGCTTTTTTTCCATGACGGCTGTATTAGCAGCACAGACACAAACAAGAGAGAGGCTGTGATTGGATGCCCTCTACTTTATAGTTTTGGTTACCGGGTTTGGTTGTAGCTGTAGCATCTGCTGCATTACCGTGTCTGCCAGCGACGGTGAATCTGTAGCTGTGTCCCAATTCAGGGGCTGTTGTTGGCTGCTCTGTTGCCGTGGACACCGTCTCTAGCTGCTCCTCAAGGCCGCTGATGTCACAATAACAGCCACAAACATGATGCGAGAGGAGCAACGTCTCTGACTACATCTCCATTTCTCTCTCTCTCTGCAACTTCTACAATTTCCCTGACGCAGCTCTCAGTCACTATGTGTCTGTCTCTCTCTCTCTCTCTCTCTCTCTCTCTCTCTCTCTCTCTCTCTCT